CCTTTTTGAGACCAAACGCATGCATTGTTTCTTTCGTGGGTAGAAACGTCCTAAACGACGTTGAATAAATTGCTAATTTGCCCTGTAGTTGACAAGGGCTGGGCTCTCCATATTCTAAATACCATGGGTTGATTTCATCATGTGCAGTTCTCCAGACACCTTCAACTTGCCTGGATCCGGCAACAGACGCAAACTTTGTGATTGGTTTTTCCCGATACTAATCAGTTGATGAATGGGACATCAAATATCTGACTTGTTACTGATACACCAAAGTGAGCTACCGTCCTTGCTCGTCAGCCCATGTCCAGAAGAACCTAAATTGAACTGTCCGATCCTTTTGCTTATGCGCCATTTGATGCTCGTCTCGCTTAAAACTTATTCTGTTCTGTTTCCCTCTGTTAGCTTTTTTAATGCCTGTTATATCTGCTGATTCGCCAATCTGTGGTTTCTGCTGCCGACCGCTCCAGTGAGTGACTAGTGCCGGAAAAAGCTCACAGAAGGGAACACAACAGCTATATTCCAAGCAGGCGAGTGTCAGAGCGTGAGTGCGTGCGAGTTCGAAAGTACCACGGTCCCAAGCTATTAATTGGAGGGATACTGTCTGAACTCGGTCCAATGCTGACGCACACGGTCTGGCTGTGACGCGCTGCATACTGAGGGGGTGTTGTCTGTCTGATCGACATCTAGTGGGGCTGAGAGTCTCGGTAGATTTCGGGTACTCAGTGCAATAGCCGTCTTTCGTTGAGACATATTTCATTGGTTGTTCTTCACTCGCCCTTGATAGATGAGTTGTAGTCTTAGTATCCCTTTTTTGACACGCTTGTGAGCAACAGTGATCAATAGAAGAACTGGCTCGCACGTTCATTGACTTTTCTGGTTTGGTCAAGCGCACCAGGCGATCAGGCGGCTATCCAGACCGGGGTTCACGGTAGTAAGAAGGCATTAAGGGACTGATCTACAACACTGTATTTTTGCTGCCTTCCGGTGATTCATGCTTTTCTGTTTAACTGGTAAGGAAGTGCACATTTTGAGGTCGCTTGTAAAAAATTCTTTCAGCTGCAACACCCTCTCGGTGCCTAGCTGCCTAGCGTTGGCCAGTTAGGCCGGCAGTAAGTTCACGCCTTTTACACTGACTCATACCGGGCTCCCAACAACTGGTTACAACTGGCTGGCTAACTAAAATACTCACAAAGTTGCTGAAAACTCTTCGACAGCCCACGAGCGGTTTTGCCCTTCTTGGGGCTCATCAGGTAAGCGCAATCCCCGAGTTTCCGTCAACCCTATGTTCTACTTGAAACTAAGGGTTCAAACGGCGTCCCTCCGGCGGTACTGACAAAACAGGCACATTTACGAAGGTCACACTTTTAAGTACGCATTAAAAATTTGATTTCTGGTGTTGTGCAAGCGTATAAAACTGTAAGTTTTCTGACCGACCGGAAAAAAAACGCTTTTTCCTGAACGTCCGTCGAGGGACAAAGTCGCTTTTCCAAACGGAGCTCTGGCCAAGAACATCGATTTTGAATTCCTTCTGAATTCAAACTGACACCAAACGGAAAATCGATTTCCTACTGTAGAGCCTCAAACAGCAAACTAGAGGTTCAGATTTAAGCGTGATTTGATATCAGAACCAAGATGGAGAAAAAAACGTTTGACGGATCAAATCACGAGCTAAAATGTTAGTCCTGCGGTCCACGGGTTTGTTGTTCATTTAAAAAAGCTAAACCAACATTGTCCGGAAAATGGAGCATACCACACTGGCGGAAAAGGCCATGGTTTCAACCCATTCCTCTATCTGGGTAAGGCTAAACGTTCATCTCAGAGCATTTATCATGAGTCGAATGCCAAACGTTACTTCCCCGTTTTGGGATAGTGCCAGAAAATGTGTGAACTGGTATTCACCTAGGAAAAAGAATTTACTGGGCAAAAGTTGTGTAGGGGAAGGATAGGGACAACGAATACTGTTGATATTGAGATAGGGTTGACGGAGATTTCGGAAATCTGAGATGAAGACCGAAGCACACACGGTGGAAATGAAAGTGCAGAGTTTATTGACGGGACTCGAGTCCGTAACCAATCACAAGTTATCTAGTGAGAGCACGAAGTGATCTCCTCTGATGAATGTTGAAGACGGGCAAAAAAATTCAATATTGGGTTCGCATCGATCTACCCTGAAATGTCTAGACCTCCACACAGATGCGTGTCTCTCAGCAGCTATACTAAGGGAGCAGCATTCATATAGTTTTCTGCTAGACTTCTTGACGGACAAAGTTCTTAAGCGCACAAACATCTTGGATTCAGAGGGAAGTATTTCCGGTAAACCATCCCAACAAATTTTCTGGAGTTGTGAGTTGCGTTCACTCTAAATCCAACGTGTCACTAACAATTGCCAACAGTTATTCGACGAATGCTTTTGTCTAAAGGTTATAGGAAGATCTCCCACGTCAGCTTTGACGCAGTAGTTAGAGCATGCAACCAAAAGCATGAACACTACTCCAGGCCAATGGTTCGTAGAAAACGTAGCGCGTGAAGGGAAGCCGCTAATCATCGACCCAAATCTGTGCAAAAGTTTGCTAACTGAAATCATGACGAGACGACGGCGAGGGGCCTAACAACTTCCAAAGTCTTATACAATCAGCTATTCAAGGCGTCCGTAAAACTACCTGACTGGGAAGGGTGAGTCATTCGTTCGACACAACCAGGACACTTACTGGATTATCGTTCAAGGCTTTGGGCAGTCACATCGCTGAAGTTTGGACACATTCGCCTATTCACACGTGATAACCCATGTGATCCCGGCTAATGTTGGTGGAGTAAGGGTAAAATGCTCGCCTCGCTTGTCAGACGTCCAGAGTCCAAAGCCCCGGATGGCCAGGAAGGTGAACCGCACTTGAGGAGATGCATCAAGTTTCAAGGTCATATTTGGCATGAAATTTGTTCCACGGCGCGAGCGGAAAAATGCTTAAGTGACACATTGATTCAGTTATCTGCCAAGGACAACCGTTCTTTACGAAAGAATTTACTTAGGATTACTCAACCATATGATATTTTTTCTGTGTACTTGGCCAAGAGATTAGCGACCGGACACTTTTGTCCAAATATAGTAGTATCCCGTAAATCAATATTTCCGCCTCCGCATGACATTTGAAAATTTGTCTGCTAGATCACGTGACAGCTTCATTGAAGCCTATTTCGACGAAATCAGTAACTTCCACGCAATGGATACGTTAACAAGGGGGATTTTTATGGATGATGAATTTTGCGGTACTAGAAATACTTTGATCCCTCATAATTGATCTTCACTCTGCCAATGTAGATTGATCAGAGGCTATCATCTAATGGATTCTGAACATAATGGGCAATCAATGAAGATGATGACTGTCTGGAATAAACTTAATTCAAATTGTCCCATGTAAACTTTTATACATCCACTCCTCCTCTTCGAAGACAGAGACTTTATCAACCTTTTATTCCAGATCAACGAGGTTTTTATCAGTAGCTATCTGAACACCAGCCTTCCGAGGGCCTTCTAGCGTTCACCTCATTATCTCGTCGATCGAGAAAAGAGTGGAGAGACTGGGCCCCTATGTCGGTCACCACTTCACGTACAGAGCTCCTCAGGCACCCGTAACTGTGGAAATAAAAAGAAAATATTATATCGACAAACTTCTGGAAAATTCCTTGTTGAGCAAGCGTCGACCGAATCAAATGCGCTTTGGAAATCCAGGAAGGTCTAAATTCCGGGGTTTTTATACTTATGACGTTGGCACCAACCGGCAGTGTGCTCACCTCTGATTTAACAACGATATACCTCCACTCATCCTTCAATCGCGGAATTCACATCGCACGATCACGTGACTACCTCTTCGAGTGACTTCTCAGGTCCACTCGTCATACAAATTAGTCTCGCTGTTGGGACCTCTTAAATTTTTTTTAAATCATGAAGAGTTTTGGGAACTGGTCGAAAATTCTACACCAGTGAAAGATGCTCTAATGTATGTGGCTCACTTGAGTTCATGAAGCATTGAAATTTTTCGTCACCTTAAGCATATTACTTGTAGTTCATAAGTAGCGTGAATGTTCGCACAGAATGCCAGATTCAGTGGTATCGCATTAGATACTTTCTGGCAAAACGGCTAGCGATCAACTTTGCTGCAGTAATATAAAAGGACATGGGGATTAGTTTCACTGTGTGTACATTGCAGAGTTCTCACGTTCCTCACAGAGAAAATTGCTGGTTTCCCTGTTCGAAGTATGCATTAGTGGGGGACCAGCTAGCTGATAGGAGAGTGCTGAAGTAACTGGCCAAAAGAAAAGTAATCATAGTTCTAGCGAAATGCACCGATCTGAGAACCAGTTTGGTTTCGCGAGGGACTCAACTTAAACTGAGCTGAATCTCCCGTCTATGATGTTTTCGTGCCACTAAATGTGCCGCACCAGGCCACCTCATGTTTCATTTGCTACGATATTCGAGATATCGCGATACATGTACGGGCGTAATACACTACTCATAAGTTTGACAGCACACGACCGAGTTCATTCTTCTTGGGGCTCATCGGGTTGGCGCAGTCTCCGAGTTTTCATCAACCTTAGGTTCTACTTGAAAGCTGATAATCCTCAAGAAGGGCGAAACCGGCAGGGGGCTGTCCAGGAATTTACCACAACGTTATGAGTAGTGTATTTCGTCCAACCATAATAGTCTTGTGATCACGGTCTCCGTTTTGTTACTGGTGGAATATTTTAACCAATGCAAGAATGCATGCGTGCGTGCGGGCAGACGCACATCGGCGTTTTTATACATGGGTTGTGACGGAAATATCCCAGCCTACTCTGATTGGTCAGTCCTGGAAGTTAAATTATTCGATGATTGGTTGGTGCGGCATCTGGTTAAATAAATGATCTGAACTGTAATTTCATGGACAATTCGGAACTGTTAAACACACTCATGTCTGTGGTCCATGTTTACTTGTGACCAGTTCGTTGTGTCGTTGTAAACAAAGTAGACACTGCTAGAATGGAACCGAAAAATCGAACTGCTTCTCGTGGAAGAAAGGTGGTGCGAACGGTGACCGAGCCTGCGTTTACTAATGCGGCTGTGCGTGGAAAATTCCTATCACTCGAGAGGCCCGATACCACCAAACCCGCAGCAGATGTTCCTTTTGGCGGACAAAGCATGTCGCTTTACGAACTAAATAGTGGGAGCTTTAGTCCAGGATCGGCACTGTACCGTCCACTGTCCAGGACGGAAATCCGCTCAAAGTATTCCTTGCATCAACAGATGAAAGAAACAATGGAATGTATCAAGCCCGGGGATCCAACCACTCCGCCGGTACAACGTCATCGACGCGAAATCACGCGCTGTTGGAGCCGTGAACGCGTTATTCGTAGCGAGGTTATCGTCGCGATAAAACCTGCGGGATCACAAAGCTCGAACGTTTTAAACGCAGAGGCTAATCAGAAAAGTACCGAAGCGCTGACCGACATTTCCTCCCCAACACTCACTTGTGGTCAGCGGGTCTCACACGGATCCAGTGAATTCAGTCTATTTTCCCCGGTTCTCATAACAGGCAGAGTGATACCCATTCGAACCTCAAATGACCGATTGTATCCACACGAGGGAACAACAGTAGCAACGCATCAAGAAATGCCTAACGGTTCGATCCGGACAGACTCGGCTGATGCAAAAACGGAATGTCTACAAAATGGAACCAAGTGAGTTATTTGTCAGTTGAGTTTCAGGGGGTGTCTGACAAACTGGTAAATAGCTGATGCAATCGCCGGCGAACCAAGTCGGGAGTCGATGAATATAGTTAATTTGAAACCGTTAGGACACAACTGCCAACCCAAACCATCTGACGTACTAAATCGAGTGGAGTTAGGACACATTCATTTGAAAACATTTGAAAACGCCTTCTATCCTCAGGGTGATCCGGCAAGAGTCTAGGTTAGTTTGCGGGATTCGCTATCCAGATTCGTTCACCAGGTTCTCACTTTTTCAGTAAATACGTTTTCTGAAGAGCTTACAATATTATGGATACAGGTGTGACTTAGTTGCCACCAACTCTGGAACCATGATGATTAGATATTTTTCTTTAATCTTCTTTATCCAACACTCATCGGAACCTTGTGGCAAGTTTGTCCTATAAGTGAAGCCAATCTATGTCGAAAACCCGAGAAACGCCTGTTTCATCCTTATTGGGAATCATCAGCAGTGCGCATCTCGCGAAACTCCGAAGAGTCTCCAACCCGCGACCTCCTAACAAGCGGTTTGAACATTTAACCGCTCGGCCACGAGTGGCTGGTCAGCAGTGTGATTAAATCGCACTTAGACAGGATATAACACCGCTCATATTTCAGTCACGGGATCAGCATCATGCGGTCACGCATGTTGACTGGCTCCTCGACTTATCAGGCTTATTCTTCCGCTGAACTACTTATAAATTGTTAGTAGTGTGAGGAGATTTGGGAGTACTTGTTTATAGAATTAGTCCTGTAAGTGAAGCCAATCAATGCTGAAAAGACGAAAAAATTCTACAGCTGTTTGATCCTTGCTGGGAATCATTGGCAGTGCACACCCCACGGAACTCCAGTGTGGAGTCTCGAACTAGCAACCTCCTTGCTAGTAGTTTGAACCTTTCTGCCCCAACCCCCACCAAAGGCCGGATTCACTTACAGGACGAAATCCTCATGCTAGTAACAAATTCTGTAACACTATATAGCGTTATGGAATAAAATTTGTTTTGTATCCTGTAGCGCGCATTCACCACCTCTTTTGCCGTGTGCTTAGTAAGAGACTAAACTGAGAAAGCCTGTTAGAGAATATTTCCATACGGAAGCACTATGAACGTTGAAAACAATTCATTCCTGTTTTTTTTCGATTCTTTATAAATTCCGGACTTTCATACAGGGCTGATGAGGTCGGACGTTTGCAGAATATGAGTAGCTCAAGGGCAGTTCGAACTTTCACACAAGACTGAGTAGATGGTACGTTTGAGGAATATGAGTAGCTCAAGTGCATTGCTTGGTTATGGACTGGTTGGCGAGCTTGGCAGTTGGGTAGCAATTCAGGTGTGGGGTTTTTGGGTGACCCACGCTTGCAATCCGACAACAGACCAACAACCAAGATCGTTTCTTGTTGCGAACTTACTTAAGAAGTTTGAGCAAGGCTTCAACGTACATCGACGCCTACGTAACCTAATTTTTTTAAAGATGTTTGGATAAAGTGTGGTAATCTTCGGGTTTGGGTGGATTGGACATCTATCACCGCATATTCTGTCACAAAAAGATTGTGGTGTGATTGTGTGCGCACCTCAGGGACTTATTGAGTTATAGGAGGGGGGGCGTCCCCGCGACACTCACAGAGTCTCTCATACCAGGTTGGTCAATGGATAGAGGTCTGACGAACACAGTCTCCTGGCCCTCCAGGTTGGAGGCTGGAACATGTGGCGACTTGTTCCGTAGAAATGGTAATGCATTTGCATTTCCCGCCAAACACCGCTACCTTTCGGTTAGGCTTTTGAGCCAAAGGCTTTTGTTGAGGACCCTAATCGTCCTCCTGTCTAGGTGTGGGCGCCCTGGCAGTATCCCAGCCCTCGTACGATGCGGCAGTGAAGCATCGATAATGATGATGATGATGATGATGATGATGATGTTGATGATGATGATGAAATTCTGTCCAGCCTATTCAGCGGATATTTTACACCTCAATTAGTCGTATTTAGCAAATGCTATATATATATATAATACTTTCCCTCGAAGGTATCCTATGAATGACCTTGCTTGATAGTGGGGATGTATTTGGCCGGAGAATACTGCTCAAACAGTTTGTTTTTACAAACTCAGTGATGAACGGTGAGCCAGGCTGTATGAGTTCGTTTTTCGGAAGGACAACTCTTCAGAAGCACCACTTTATCGTCCCCATAAGGGCGAGGAAACCTTTGTTCCATGGGTTCGCAACACAATCTTCCGAGATATTTATTCCACTTTTGGATTAGAGTGTTTCTGACCTTGAACTCAATGTCAGCTGATTCTCCTGCAAGGGTACTTTCTTTCCAGCTGCTACAGTTTCGTTCACCGGGATTAGGAGAGCTGGGAAAATATAGCTAAGAAAGGCACGCTTATTTGGTTTGCGGGGTTTGGTTGAGGTTGACAGATCGAATGCCTCAGCGCCACTGGCTGTGTAATTGAGCTATTCCTGTCAAGGTCAGTAAGGCTTGAGTCCCGAAGTCTCCACCCAGGACTGCATTCACTTACATCAAGGAAAAATTAGTGAGATTGAACTGTCGAAGTCATCGAATGGACCGAAACAGGGGCTCACTTCTTCAGGCTATTTCGGCCTAGATAGGATTGATTTTTGAACAACCTGAAAAAACTCTACAGAGAGCGTTCCCGTCTGCAATGTTTAGAACCACCCCTTGTTTTCTGCGACTTACGAAGAGGTCGCGTGTGACCAAAAACCAGTTGCCGTGCTATTTTCGTTCCTGTCTAAAGATCCTTTCGTTCAAAAGGAGAGTGAAGAGCAGGTGCAAGGTTTACTACTTAGAGGCGCACAAAACGACTAACTTTAACCGACGTGAAAGTCGCCGTCAAATTCCTGTCAAGGTCAGTAAGGCTTGAGTCCCGAAGTCTCCACCCAGGACTGCATTCACTTACATCAAGGAAAAATTAGTGAGATTGAACTGTCGAAGTCATCGAATGGACCGAAACAGGGGCTCACTTCTTCAGGCTATTTCGGCCTAGATAGGATTGATTTTTGAACAACCTGAAAAAACTCTACAGAGAGCGTTCCCGTCTGCAATGTTTAGAACCACCCCTTGTTTTCTGCGACTTACGAAGAGGTCGCGTGTGACCAAAAACCAGTTGCCGTGCTATTTTCGTTCCTGTCTAAAGATCCTTTCGTTCAAAAGGAGAGTGAAGAGCAGGTGCAAGGTTTACAATTGTTATATCCGCTATCTGCAATGTGTAAACTGTACACTGCCTGATCATCCATGGTTTTGTCAGTTGGTGCCGTCAAAATGACATTTCACTGGATTCTGAAGATCATGCTCACCAGACTACAGTCGGTGGGAGACATGGCCTCTGCAGATAGACGATTTGAGGCGTTCTCAGGTTTACAGTGATATATATAACATAATACATATATGCTATATAATACAATCTGTACTATATGATTCACCGATCGATCGGGCAGTTTCATCAAATCTTTTCACCCGGTCAGGTTAAGCCCAATTTAGAGATGTGTAAAGTAAACAAGGTATTGGTCAACCGTTCAGGCAGCTAAATGACCGAGTATGCAACTTCCCTCTAGAGAGGTGAAAGTACAAATCACCATGATACTGGAGAGGAGTTGACTAAATTTGACAGCAGTTGATAAGCGCTCCTCAGCTTTTCGCTGATGCCTTCTCATTATCAGCTTAAAAGAAAATCGAGAGTTTAGAAAAGCGATTTTTTTTCGTGTGACCCAGCCCTCCAAAAAAAATTCTACAGAGCGCTTCCTCCAGATGAAGAGAGCAATTGCAGCATAATTCATCTATCCGTGCTATCTAAGATGTCCTCAAAATAGCTTCTTGGGTGTTTCCCGATCTGTAACCCAAACCTAGAGAGTTCTGAGCACTGCTCATATAAATCAAAATAATGTGTGGTATTATGATTTTGTTCTGAATTCATTTGAAATCAAAGTCTGTAATTATGGAAGCAGTCTTTCTAATCATGAACCGGTTTACATTACTTGTGACTAAAAATTAGATGCGAACTGAGGTAAACCACAACTTGTGTAGGTCAAAAACAGTCGTGCTGTTCGAAGGGCCGCAATTTGTTCTCAAGTGTAGAAAGTAAAAAGGGTAGTGCAAACGTGCCACGGTTGTTATCTTGTGACTTTTGGCAACAATGTCTCCAAATATCGTTAATTTGTGTGTCTGAACCAACAAGATTTCATGGCGATCATCGATTTTAAAATTTAAATGGTGCGTCATCATGCGGTCGATATCCATTCAGTCAAGAGGCTTGCAATCATACGGGTTTTTGTAGAGCGATATAAAAATGATTTGGCAGCTTTTTCACGCACATTCATCATACAGATCGCTACTTAGAGGCGCACAAAAAGACTAAATTTAACCGACGTGAAAGTCGCCGTCAGTTCGGCATAACTTCAAATGTGCCGGCATCACACATATAGCATCACACTGAAGTGAAACATGGTTTGCAATCGTTCAAATATAGGTGAATACCGTTAGAATCCGGTATCCCTGCTTGCCAGACAAAATGAAAGTGCGTAAAGCCTATAACTGTGTTGTATCTGTTGGCTGCTCCCACTCCAGTACCTGGTGCCAGAAAAAGACTCTGATAAGGGACACAACAGATTTATTGCGAACAAGCATGAGCGTGTAAGTGCAACGGCCCTGGGCTATTCAAAGAGTACTTTTTGACGTTGATCCCGGCTGTCTGATACGTGAACACTCATCAGCTTTTGCTGAATTGATTGAGTGATCGATTGACCTGAATGCCTGCTGGCTTCCTTAATAAGATTGAAGTGAAATTTTTGGGTCTCAGTAGGTGCTGATAAAGAACGTGGCCGATTGTGTGGGCCTGTTTTTTTAACTTTAAACGTGAGCGGGTCGGTAAAATCTCTTTTATTCAACCCAAAACGTCCTTTGGTTATCGAGAATTAAAACTAGACGAAATCTATAATTGGCTATCAGCGAATTTCGGTCAGTTCCA